AAAATGTTATTGTTGGGCTTTTTTCAGTGTTTTGTTTGTTCGTGAGTAAATCGGTTTGGCTGAGATTAAAGTTATTAGATTAGATTAAATAAAACTTTATTAATCCCCCGGGTGGGTTCCTCCTTGGTTTTCACACAGCTGACTAAACCTCAAACAGAAAACTTATTAAACAGAAGTATGAGAGTATGAGACAGTCGAGAATTTACACCAGTGTCCTGATATATTTTAGATAGCAAGAAGCAGACGGCCGAGTTTATTAAACTCCACCGAGACAGCGGTGACGCTGATCAGAAGGCTGGACCGTCCAATTCCACAGCCGTTTACTTCAGGCCTACCCGACCTTCTGAGGACCCGGCCCACATAGACCACGAAGGCCGGGTCCTCAGGAGGATGCAGCCCATGAATTTGGACACGACCACAGAGGGAGCAATCAGGGATGGGAAACAGGAAGGAAACACTGCTGGGGCAAATCAGGGCTAACGAGACAAGGGAAGCACAACCAGACACATTAACAACAGACACAGACTTTCAAAGTAAAACAGGAAACAGACTGAACTCACAGACACAGACTCACAAGCAGGCACTGCAACAGAGGGAACATAGACGTGGGACCAGGGCAGACAGACCCTGACTGGACACAGAATAGAGGGAGTAAGGAAACCAAAACCTAAGAACCACATAATCACACACCAAGAAGAACTGGGGAAAAATAGAAATGCAAAACAGAAACCAAAACCTTCACAAAAATAAACTAAGATAAGAACACAAATAAAAAGGTACAAAACTGAAACCACTGGGTCAACGACCCAGGTACCCTAACACAGAGAAGAGCGCGAGAAAATGTGGAGGGTGAAGGTAACAGTGGTCCCAGTCGGAGCACTCGGTGCAGTAACTCCTAAACTAGGCGAGTGGCTCCAGCAGATCCCGGGAACAACATCGGAGATCTCTGTCCAGGAGAGCGCAGTCCTGGGAACAGCTAAGATACTGCAGGACCCTCAAGCTCCCAGGCCTCTGGTAGAGGACCCGAGCTTGAAGGATAAACCGCCCAGTCAAGGGTTTGGACAAAGCTTCTGATTTAATGGTTTTTCTTTATTTTCATGACTGTTTACATTGTAGATTCTCACTGAAGCCATCACAAATTTGACCGAACACAGATGGAATTATGTAGAAAAAAGTGAAATAACTCCAAACATGTTTTATTTTTTAGATTCTTTGCTTTGATTGCTGCTTTGCTCACTCTCTGCATTTTCTCCATGAGCTTCACGAGGTCGTCACCTGAAAAGGTTTCCAACAGTCTTGAAGGAGTTCAGAGATGCTGAGCTCTTGTTGGTCCTCCATCTCATCCCAAACCATCTCCACTGGGTTTAGGTCAGGTGACTGTGGAGGCCAGATCATCAGGTGCAGCACTTCATCTCTCCTTCTTGGTCACAGAGCCCTCACACAGCCTGGAGGTGTGTTTGGGGTCATTGTCCTGTTGAAGAATAAATGATGGGATGTGGCTGCAGGATGCTGTGGTAGCCATGCTGCTTCAGTCTGCCTTCAATTTTGAATAAATCCCCAACAGTGTCAGCAGCAAAGCCCCCCCACACCATCACACCTCCTGCTCCAGGCTTCACAGTGGGAACCATGCATGTAGAGACCATCGTTCACCATCGCACAAAGACACAACAGGTGGAACCAAAGATCTCAGCTGTGGACTCATCATCAGATGAATGTATCCTCAGCAGCAGAGGGACTCTTGGTCTTCCTTTCCTGGGGCGTACTCGTGTCAGACAGTTTCATCGTAGTCTTGATGTTTTTGCGACTGCACTTGGGGACAAAGCTTTAGCAATGTTGCAGACTGACTGACCTTCAGTCCTTACAGTAATGATGGGCTGTTGTTTCTCTTTACTTAGCTGATTGGTTCTCGCCATAATATGATTTGTATCAGTTGTCAAACAGAGCTGTGAGCTGTGCACCAACCTGACTGCTGCACAACACAACTGATGGTCCCAACCCCATTAAGAAGGCAAGAAACTCCACAACTGCACCCTGACAGGCTCACCTGTGAGATTTCAGGTGGCCACATCATGAAGCTCAATGACAGAAGGCCGAGGGTTTGCAGCGCTGTCAACAAAGCAAAGGGCGGCTACTGTCAGGAATCTAAACTATAAAACATATTTAGAGTTATTTATCAATTTTCTCTTTGCTACATAATTCCAAATATTTGATGTCTTCAGTTTGTATCTATAACGTGGAATAAAAACAGAAGCACCGAACATTACAACCTTTGAGATGGGGACTTTGGTTTGGGTGAAAAAGAAATGGTTGGACACAAAACTGGATGCAAAACAAGAATAGCTTGAAAAAAACCTAGAAAAAAAATGTGGAGGACAATGGCCGTCAGCCCAAGATGAGAGACTTGTAGAAATTACTGGGCAATCATCCATAACTGGAATATAACCCAGACATGAGGGTTAAAGTGATGACATCCTGCTAGGACTTTTAATTTGTAGTTGGAACGTTTTATATACCCTTCCTGTCTGTTAGATCAATGTGAATTAACAGTAAGGGCTTAATTGCAAGTTTACTAGACCTGGAGAGGCGTGGCTGCAGTAAACGCATGCGGATGGTGACTTTGGAGAGTCACCACTTTCAGATTTTATGTTCTTTGGGGTACCAACTGCTCTAGCTCAGCTTATTAAGTAAAAGCCTGGTGGTAGTGCTGTTGTTGCTTTTGACCTGGCTCTTTGAGTCTGAGAGGTTTTTTTGCTGGAATTTCCTTATATTCTTTTTTTAAATTGCCATTACAATCATAAAATACGATGTGTTTCTTTGTTGTTTGCTGTTGTTAACTGAAATATAAAATTTTAGGTTTCTGCAAATAAATACAGACACACTATTTATTCTGACCATATAGATATGAGCTTAGAAATATGAGGTTTTATTCAAGTAATTTTGTGCCAAATAAAGAAATGTTTCACGACCCTTCTAATTCCACATTTTTCAGTATCTGAGTGGAGAACAGTTCCTGTGTATGAACACTTGATGGTAGCAGCTGACCATGGATTTCATGTTATACAGTTTCACACGGTATCACCAGATAAAACCGTTTACCATAAAGCTGCCACACAAGCAAATAACATATATGACTAACACTGTTTGACCCAGTATTTTGAGTTGTTATGGTTTGGTTTATTTTTGAATGATGGATTGTTCTTTATGTTTCTCTGGTGCTTTGTTGGGTTTTATGATGAATCTGTGTTTCAGTTAT